GCGGCGGGCCGAGGCCATCCGAACCAGTCGGCACCAGCAGGACGGTCTCCCCACCAAGGCGGACAACCAAGACGGCCAGGAGGTCGCCCCTCCGGGTACCATCCTCAGCCTCCCTGGCAGCGCCAAGGACAGGGATACGGGCCTACTTCCGGCCCAGATCTCCACCTCATGTGTCACACCATGGCCAGGCTCCTCATGAGACACGAGGACGCCCTCTCGGTGCTCCAGCAATCCACCACCTGGATTCTCTTCCTCACGACCCAGACGGAAAGCACCATCCTCCCCAAGCTGTTCGCCACAGCCCAAGGTTGGCACGACCTGCGATGGAACAACCCGGACGCCATCACGCAGCCGATGCGCATCATCCTATGGCAGAAGCTGATGATGGAGTTGGCGCAGCGTGCGCAGAAGGTGATAGACCAGGCGGACGCACGGGAACAGGCTGTTCAGATGGAGCTGTACAACCCGAATACGGGATTTGGCTACCGCAAGTGGAACAACAAGGAAGGTGCCATGCAAGCCATCCCGGACAGAGAGCCGCTACTGGCCCAGAAGGTGGTGGAGGTGGCTCAGGAGCTGGCGACATTGAGTGTGCAGCCACAGCTGCTCAATCGCTTTCACGCCACGAGGCAACTGGAGGAGAAGATGGAAGGAAGCACAGTCACCTGGCTTCTGGAAGTGGGATGGCGAGGAGAACAGACAGCCCGATTTTGGGAGCTACTCCAGCTCCTCTCGCACAACTCCTCTCTCCTCATGGTGGGCTGCACCCTTCGCCCGGATCGCCTCCAACGATCAGCCCTGGCGCAGCAGCTCCAGACCCTCTTGCAATCCATGAACATTCCCATGCCACGTCAGCAGCCGAGACCTCAGCATTACTTCCAATATTGCGGCTTCACAACCCATCCAACTACTGCTACTCCCACGCTTGCCTCCTGACCTATCTTTGGATTGTGTCCCTGTCAACCTCATCCCTTCAGGTACTGGACCGGGAACCGATAAGGAGCTTCATTGCGCAGGCGCGCAAGCAGCAACAACTGACGCTGTGGTCCCTTCTACCATGGCGACAGGCACTCCGGCGCTGGACTAATCCTGCCAGACAGCACGATGCCGCGGACTTCCTACTACACCTTCACCAGGTGTTAAATGCACCCTGCTTCCAAGGCCTCTGGCAATCTTATGATGACCGCAGAGTGCTCCAGGATGAAGGCGGGGTTTGTCCACTCATCCTTTCTGGTATTCAAGATGCCTCTACTGCCGTTGCTACCTCAGCCCAGTCCTGCATCAATCGTTGGTACTCGCAGAAACGTCGCCACGCCTTGATCTCAGGTACTGAAGCTGTGGCTGTACAGCTGAACAGATTCTGCAATGAGCGGGGCATTGCTACCAAAAGTGACCATCGCATCGAAGCAGATCAGGAAGTCCTCTTTCCTCAATGGATCCCCACCTCCACTGAAGTCATATGGAGAACTTATCAGCTTCAAACGATTGTCCAGCACATCGGACCTACTACGGTCACGGGGCACTACCGTGCTGCACTCAAGCCTCGCTCTGATGTTACATCCCTCTGGCATTACACCGATGACAACAGAGCTGCACAATCCATTCGCCTGGATGCCCTTTCTACCTCCAGCTACATACTCGTATACAGACTGAGGAGTGCTGCCACTTCCACATAGGCCCTTCGGGGCACAACGTAGTTAGTTCCGAGACGATCCAAGTGTGATCGTGCGCCACTGTGCGCCAGGTGATTCCTGCTCCAATCAGCGCATTGCGACTTTACCGTCCGCAGCGAGTGTGATGATGATACTACTACTACTACTACTACTACTACTACTACTACTACTACTACTACTACTACTACTACTACTACTACTACTAATATACTAGAAGATAATACACTTTACAGTATATACATATATATATATATATATGTAATTTAATATAACATAATATAACATAGTATATTATAATACACGAAGCTATAAGAAGTCCAAAGGTCAAGAAGCCGAGTGGCCGAAAACCCAAGAAGCCACCTGTGCTCACCCTTGCTTCGAAAGGTAAAATGGTAACCTTCTATACTTAATCCTGAAAACAGGACCAGAGGACCAGGGGCTGCACCGGACCAGGGGACCAAGAAGACCAAGGGACCAGGGGACCAGAGGACCAAGGGGACTGAAAAAAAAGGTTGGCATTAAAAAAAAGGAGTGAAGAAATACGCCCTCCATTAAAAAGCCGAGAGGCCGAAAAGCCAAGAAGCCTAGGAAACCGAGATGCCAGGAGCCAAGGAAACCAAGAAGCCAAGGAAACCAGAAAGCCAGCAAGCCGTGCAAAACGAGAAGGCAGTATGCTCCAAGTTACGATACCAGAAGAAGTCGAGGGGGCATCGAAAAGCCAAGAAGCCACGGAAACCAAGAAGCCATGCACGACAGGAAGGCAGGAGAACCGCACGCGCACGCACACAGACCAAAAAAAACGTCCCCCCCCCAAAGAAAAAAAGAATTACCAAAATAAATATGCCTCCCTGCCAAACAGCCTTGAGGCCAAAAGGCTTAGCAATCGAAAGCTCAGGCTCTGGGGTTAAGTGTGAACCCAAAACCCTAAAACCCTAAAGCCGTACTAAGACCCCCATCAAAACTCGCCGAATCCCATAAATCCCTAAGCCCTAAACCTTCAACCCTAACTTCCCTAAACCCTAAAGGAGCTCTGAAAACGCCTCCATGGGCTCCATGACGTGGTCCGCCATTATGCTCAGCGCCACGTGTTCCGCCATTTTGGAGACTCCGTGCCGCTTTGGGCAACTAGCGTAAGGTCTAGGGCAGATGCATGTGGGATGTTTTTGCTTCCGCCGGGGGTATTTAACACGTTCTCGGGAATAGAGTTGGGGGTTTGGGGATTACGGTTTGGAGCGACATATCTCAGCCTCAGGTGCCCCCCTGCATTTATCCGATGTAGTCAAGCTAGCATATGCTACACTGACCTGAATGCCCGAAGCTGACTCCTAAGCCATGATGCTCCCCGCAGCAGGTGTTGCTTTTTCGACTTTGTCGCATTCTACTTAGGAATGTCAGAAAAAAGAAGCAGACAATAGTACAAACAAAACAGGTAGAGGATAGCTGAAAGGGTTAACTTGGGGCTTAGGGTACCCGAGCTCTAACAGCATGGATTACCGTGGGGCCTGTGTCTGAACCCTAAAGTCTAAACCCTGACCCAAATGACATCCTAAACCAAAAATCCTGAATCCTAAACCCATTAGGGTGACCTTATGTTACTTTAAACTGATACACTAAACCAAAACAACCTAAAACCCAAACCCCTTAGGGGTACCTTCTACAGCTCAGGGTCGGGAGCTAAGGCTTGAAGGGCCCAGGCGAGCAGCTTCTACACGCTCGCAGAGGGGGGAAAAAACTCGGCCCTTTCGATTTTGTGCTTTAAGAAATTGGGGTTTTGGATTCAGGGTCTGCGGTTTGGGGGCCTGGGTTTTAAGGGTTGATGTTTCTGGATATTGGGCTTGCGGTTGAGGGTCTCTGGTTTTAAGCTCCGTTTTCCCGCGTCTGCGCTTGGCTGTTCACCGTCCTTGCAATCGCTTTCTTATACCCTCCTTAGAACCACAATAAAAAAAATATGTTGAATATTCTCTTGGGTAAATCATTCCTAAGGAGAATTCGGTTTCGGGAGCTTGTATGCTTCCACAGCGGCAAAATCCTAGCTCTTTAGTCAGAAACTGGGCAAACCGAATTCTGAAGCCAACCACAAATACAAGAATATCTGCTCCTGTCCCTGTTCATAGCAGGATCGACACGTCTACTTTCGGTCATCTCTTCTGGGACCTTTGTCTGCTGAATTCCGATAAAACAGGTACCGAGTACCGCGCATGGAACAGCGGTTGATAAAAGCTCGCACCAGGCAGGCCACCGGAAGATCTCCGATTCAAATGCTCACCTGCCTGCGCAGGTACATGCTCACCGGCGACGTTTCGCGGAAGAAATCCTGCCGGGGTGGGTGACCAGAACCTACCGTAGGGTTTGGCTTTCTGACTCACTGAAAACCGCACGAATCAAGGCCACGAAGGACATCACGCCCTCTGTGGACGCCTACCGCCCCTTCTATGTACTTCTTGTTCGTCGACAACTGACACCTTGAGTGATGTGAGAGAACTCGATCGTGGCACCCGGATCAGCACTGAGGAGCCCAAACCTAGAAAACATGTTTGGGTACATAAGCTACCTACGCGTGCAGTATTGCAGCGATGCTCGTCGAAATCATGTGCACTCGAAAGTCGTTATCGCTGGCGCTGCTGTTGGACACCTGCACATACGACCCCATTGTCCTACCTGCGGGCCTTTGGGTACACACCTTTTTGCTTGCGGTTGCCATGGTGATCGACTTTCTCAACCTCCGACTGCCTTTTGCTTAAATCCCAAATCGCTCGAGCGGGAGAATTGAATCATCTCGAGGTAATGGCTACGTTTCGCTGTGCGTTGTCAGGAGTCGAATACCGGGGCCTGAATAATTAGACTATAGTTATAATAAGGAACCACCAACCCTAGTCTAATCATTAAGGCCCCTACATTACTACACTAAATGCACCGCCAACCTACCTCCGCTTGAATCCCGAAGTACATGTCCTCTGCCCGAAATATAGTCTTCTTCGGATTTCCTTTACAGACAGAACCTATGCTTTAATCTGCCTTTTAAAGACAACTGCATGACATTTAACTGTCGAGACACTCGTTTGTAGATGGACTTAACTTCAGAGTCAATCCAAAAACCCCACTCCAGGACAGCAAGCAGTAAGCAGGCCAACAACACGGGCCCATCACGTTGTGTACTCTTCCTGTAACAGTTCCTACAAGGGTTCTTTTCAGGCTTGCAAGTAAGGGTTTCCATGGAAAAAACCGAGCCATGTCAGCTTCTTGGAACCCTGCATCTGACCTCACCCCTCTCTCCTAGGGCGCAAGATCCGAAACACGAAAGTGCAACGATCAGAGCACGGAGATGTCCTGGCTGAGATCCAGCCTGCCTGCATGTTGCAGCAAGTCGGTAAAGTGCGCAAAGCCCGAAACTGGTACTGCATCCATCAACTCAACCAAGACCTCAGGGCCTAAAGTCTGGAACCTCCTTGTGCGAAACTAAGAGCCCGAATTCAAAACCGCAAGGTCGCAGAGCTTGGGATGTGGTCCTGAAGGGCTATTGACCTGGAAGGTGGTTCGGAGCTCTGGGTTTGTGTAAACCCTATCTCATTTTTGCTTATACCTGTGCATCTAAACAGATACCCTACATGTTGTACCCACATCCCTTACGTACAAATCCTGAATTTTGCAGGTTCTCTAAACCCAAAGCAATTGGAACCTTAAGCCCTGAAACCCTACATAAATCTCAAAAAACCCAAATCCGAAGTCCAAAAAAACTGAAGCTCGCGCCCCGATATAGAAGCTGGAAGTATGACCAATCTTATTCCACAGCGTTCATATACTGTGATCGACCCCAGAACCCTATTCTAGGTCAGGAAAGCCTCCATAATCCATGTTGGAGGCTTTATGGCTCTAAACCCTCAACCTTCAACCCTCTCAACCCTAAACCCGACGGCCAACAGATGACAGGCCGCTGAGTGAGGAGGAAATCGGCAGCTTCGGCGGCGCCTTCCGCGGAGCCTGCGAAAACAGAGCCCCTTGAGTTTAGGGTTTAGGGTTTTGGTTTAGGGTTTAGGGTTTAGGAACATGCCAGAAAATGTCCAAGTATGTCTGTTACGGGTGTATTCCTTAATTCAGGGGTCTTGGAGTTTCTGGGGTATAAGCTTCCGGATCTATGATCTAGGATTCTGGGCCCAGGGTTGAGAATTTGACGTGCCAAATCCAGAAAGGAACGCTGTGGGGCTCTAAAGATTTTGGGTTTGGGTTTCAGTAGGGTGCAGGACTTAGTTTAAGGTTTTGGGTTTGAGACTTACTGCCAGGCTGAGGGCCTCAAGGCTCTGGGTTGCGAGGTGCTCTTACCGAATCCCCACACCCTTTAGGCGAGAACCCTTCCGATGCACGCCTCAAAACCCAAATCCCGCCTCCTAGAACCCCACGAGCCCTCAACTCCTAAACTCTAGAAGCCTTTGTGCTCTAAAGACCTAAACTCCATAATAATAATAATAATAATAATAACAATAATAAGAATAATAAGGAGGCTGAGCTCTAATGTAGGGTGCTGGGTACCGTTGTACTACATTTATGATAAGGACCTCCTACACCCAGAAGCTCTCGAACCCTAAACTCTATTCTAAACTCCTAACCGCCAAAAGCCGTAGAACCCTAAACCCTGAACTTTCCTAAACCCAAATGCCACATCCTAGAATCCCACCTCGGTCTCGAGTGTCCAAGCCGGGGGCGAAGAGGCATATCCTAACCTGGGCTCGGGTTTCGGGTTTAGGGTTAGGGCTCTTGCGGACTTCGTGACTAGGGTTCCTTAAAGGGTTCCAGGGAGGGACCTAGTCAGGAACTGGAGGTTGCAGATGGGCTTTCTGAGTTACAGTCTGATAGGTGGTCTTATAAATTTCACGGTCTTATAGCTCGCTTTATAGGGGGCTTTCTACAGGAGCTGTAAGGCCAAATTGAGAAAGGCTTCACCAGGCTGAAGTTTTTGTTACAAACAGCTGTTGCGCTTATGGAGCTTAAGCTATATTAAATTGGAAGAGATGGGAGTTTCCGAAACTTAGGGGTACCGTATTTTGAGGGTCCTTCTAATCAGGATCCTACTATTGAGGGTACTGTAGCAGGGTCCCCTATTTTCGGAAACTCCCAGATATCCTAACGTAAGCGAATTAAAGTCGTTAAGAATTAACAACAGCCAAGAAACCAGAAGACCAGGCCGGCGCAGAAGCAGGAAGTGGCCTTGTACAAGCTTCAAGGTGTAAGGTTGAAGGGTTCTATAGGGGCTTCTAATTGCAAGGCTTCTGTTTAGAATAATTAGAAGGGTTCTGAAAGCACGGCCGAACCGATCTATAAGTAATGGTAGGGTTTGAGGTTTGAGGCTCAGGGTTTAGGGTTCCTCCTGGCTTCAAGAGTTTAGGGCTTCTGGGGATTGAGTTTCAGGCGTTGGGAAATTGAAATTCATTGCTTGACGAGGAATTGAACATAAATACCGCTTTCGGTCGGTGTCAGTCGCCTTGAACATCCCATTGGGGGGGGCTGTAAGGTGTAGCGCTCAGGCGGGTTTTGCCCGATGCCTCTAAAGTGCTCTACTTCAATACTAGCTTACCATTAAGATGAGAACCGGCGAGCTTGGTTTGAGTTCTCACCATGTGGCGTAGCATGGCATAGCCCTGCACAAGATAGCACATCATCGCGCAGTGTACTATAGTACAGTACAGTACCTCATAGTATGGCATACCAGAGCACAGCACGGCATAGCGTGGTACAGCATAGCATCGCACAGCGTAACCAAGAATTCTGAGAACTGCGAGACATCCTGAGCCACAAAGGCCCTGCAGCCCCAAACCCGAAGCACTGAAGCCCCAAACTCAACTTAAAGGATCCTGGGACTTGGTAACTTTCAAGGGCTCCTTAAAGGGTTCTATAAGGGATCTCTAGGGGTTTAGGGTATTTAAAGGATCATGGGACTTAGTAAATAGGGCTGTAAAAAAAGATAACTATACTTATAATTACCTATAACCCCATTTAATGTACTTACAACCATATTTACAGCGCGCAAGCTGGAACCTGCACCAGGATGAGACCAATCGGCCCTTGTCGGATCAAGCATTGGGTGGCGAAGATGGAGATGGCCTGGTTTCGGGTTCAGGGCCTAAGGTCCAGGCTCGGCTTTAGTGGGCCTGGGGTTTGGGGTCGCTGTTTTCAATTTGTCTGGAGATGTTGGGATCTTATCGGCGGGATTTGGTTGTTTTGTAGTACAGGGTGATCGCTTGCATTTAAGTCTTCGAGTTTTGAATGCCCCTCCTGACGGAGATCAGCTTCGGCCTGCAGCATGACGACAACGAGACCGAAGACGAAAACTACAACGAAGCTGCACAACTGTGACGACGACGACTACGGTGACTACGCTTTCACTGTCACTGAAGAGAGGAAGACGACCGCCGCCACCGCCACCTGCTACTGTCACTGGGGGTGCGACGCTGCTTTGGACGAGCACTGCACTTACTACACCCAGTATCGTGCTCATCATTGATCACTATCACTCAGCCGTCCAAAGAACAAAGACCCAAAGCTGCCCAGTCGCCGAGGGCAGAATGCTCATGGCCAGGATCTCGCAAGAGGCGGCCATGCCGGCGCAGCTTGCCAGCGGCTCGAGCAGCAACACGTTGCAGGACACGGCGCAGATCCTTAAAGCTACACCCCAGAACAAGAGGAAGCCTTGTCAAGGCTGATAGGCCGCGTTTGGAGTGCAGCGGAGACGGCAAGAGGCTCCCTACGGCACTTTAAACGACCAGCAGCTCCATGGATACTATGTTGTGGCGATGGTGCTCCTGTTATTTCCTCTACTAGTGTTATTGCTATTGAAATTGCAGTGACTGCTGCCAGTGCCACTGTTAGTGCTAGAGTACGAATGCTTTGGCTCTACTTCTGCACTGCTGCAGCTCTACTACTACTACTACTACTACTACTACTACTACTACTACTACTACTACTACTACTACTACTACTACTACTACTACTACTACTAACTGCTACTACTACTAACTACTACCACGACTGCTACTACTACTACTACTACTACTACTACTACTACTACTACTACTACTACTACTACTTTTGCTACTACCACAACTACTACCACTACTACTACTACTGCTGCTGCTACGACTACTACTACTACTACTACTATTACTACTACTGCGACTACTACCACTACTGCTACTACTACTACTACTGCTACTACTATTACTACTACTACTACTACTGCTACTGCTACTACTACTACTGCTACTACTGCCATCACTACTACGACTACTACTACTGCGACAACTACCACAACCAATACTACTACTACTACTACTACTACTACTACTACTACTACTACTACTACTACTACTACTACTACTACTACTACTACTACTACTACTACTACTACTACTACTACTACTACTACTACTACTACTACTACTACTACTACTACTACAACACTACTACTACTACTACTACTACTACTACTACTACTACTACTACTGCTACGACGACTACTACTACTGCGACAACCACTACGACGACGACTACCGCTACAATTATTACTATTGCTATCACTGCCACTGCAATTGATGAGCTCTGATCTGAACATTATCATGATGCGCACATGGATGCTCTGCGGCAACGGAGAAGCTCCGTATTTTGATCGCCCCGACACGCCTATTTCATCGCTCCGACATCCCAATTTTGTCGCCCCGAAATTTCTCTGTGAGCCGAGATTGGCACATTGAAATCTCGGGGCTTGACGGCCCCACAGCGCCTTCCAGCAAACCCCAGACAGCTGGAATTTCCGGTTTGCCGCAAGCTCGCCTTAGTCTAGCGGTTAAGCCACCGGCTCAGAAGCCCACGTGCGCGGGCTCAAATCCCGCCCGCGTCATTTTTGCTCTTTGCCGCCTCTTCCCAGACCTGGATTTAGAGCTGCTTGTCCTTTTCCGGAGGCGGCGGCAAAGAGCAAAAATGACAGGGGCGGGATTCGAGCCCGCGCATGTGGGCTTCTGAGCCGGTGGCTTAACCGCTAGACTAAGGCGGGCTTGCGGCGAACCGGAAATTCCAGCTCTCTGGGATTTGCTGGAAGGCGCTTTGGGGCCGCCAAGCCCCGAGATTTCAATGTGCCAATCTCGGCTCACATAGAAATTTCGCGGCGATAAAATTGGGATGTCGGGGCGATGAAATAGGCGTGTCGGGGCGATCAAGATACGGATGTCGCAGCGATAAGACGGAGATGTCGGAGCGACAAAATGCGGATGTCGACACAATAACATAGGGTTGTCAGGGCGAGAGCATAGGGATGTCGAGGTGAAGGTGCAGAGTTGAAACTGACAGAAACTAGTTGCTACTTGTTGATGCTGGTTGTTACCGGCTGCCAGTGCCAATGTCCAGTCTAGTGCTGATGTTAGTGTAAGTATTAGTGTTATCTTGTAATGTATGCTTCTGTGTTAGACTGCCTTTCGATGACTAGCAAGCCTTTTAAAAAAAACAAAACAAACTTTACAAAACAGAATTTAAAAAAAACAAAAAAAAACAAACAAAAACCCGCGTTCCACACAAGCAAGCAACACACGGATGCATCAAGTGCCAAACAACACACAGTGCACTTTTGCGAAAAGAGGCGGCTGGTGCAACATAGCAGATTCATTTTGTACTTGTCCGGCATTGGCGAACGGAACTCTCTCGCCACCAATTTTTTCCATCTGACAGGCTGCTGCGAAAGCCAGGGTGACAGCAGAGAAAGAGTCACAGCCCAAGAAGCAGCGGAAGATGCTGACTGGCGGCTGCAGAGCGCATGAGGCGCAAGCTTCGGGCAGAGGACCGCCAAGCACAGAAGCCAGTGACAACACCGGGACACCGAGGAGGACAAGAACACCTTGTGAGCATGAGGGTTTCAGGGAGTTCAGGGAAGAAGTAGGCCCCTAAGCCCCTAACCCCGCACCCAACCCGTTCTTTTCCAAAAGACACAGGCGCCGCTAAATACACAAGACCAAGAATATCCCGGCTTAAGGTTTGGGGATTTAGGGTTTGTTGTCACTACCTCTACAACCATTACTACTACTACTACTACTACTATTACTACTACTACTACTACCAGTACTACCACTACTACTACTATTACCACTACTACTACGACTACTACTACTACTGCAACAAGTACTACGACGACGATGACAACGACGACTACTACTACTACCACCACTACTACTACAACTACTACTACTACTGCGACAACTACTAGGACTACGACTACTTCTACTGCTACTAGTACTACTAGTACTACTACTACTACTACTCCTACTACTACTACTCCTGCTACTAC